TTTCATCAGTTCAAGATGAAAACAAGAGAAAGGAAATCAGATGAACCCTTGCAAACCTTCAATGCTGAGGCAGGACCCACACTTGACTTGAGAACTGGAGTTCCGGGGACCCTCACATGCAGCATAGAGCCCGGGTCCCTGCCCGGGGCGCACGCCCTCAGAGTCCACCAGGGTCCGAGCCCGAGGAGGCTCTGCTGGGCCAGGGACGGCACCGCCGATGGGGCCGGTGTGTGTGTGGACTCATCAGATGGCAGCTTCCTGCCAGTGTCCCCTGAGGTGCAGGTGCTGTGGGCTGTCCATCACCCAATGCCGACAACTAGCCCTATGGACACTTCCTCCTGACCTGGCCTGGTGGGGTCCCCCATAAAGGCGGGGAAGCTCTGGGCTGGACATGGCTTCCTGTAAATTCTGGGCACGAGAACATCAGCGCTGGTTTCTCAACATGTTTGTTTTCTTAAACACAAAAGAGCGTCGCTTAGGGATGATTTTAAGTATAAGCTACTCATCCGCAGCATCTTTTAGTTTCGTATAAAATAATGTCCCTACATAGCACAGTTTAAAAGATACCGAGAAAAGGTTTGTAAACTCAGATTTGCTAAAATACGATTCATGCTGTGTGCCCTTTTATGAACACCTTCTAGAACAGCGGTTCTCAACCTGTGGGTCGCGACCCCTTTGGGGGTCAAACGACCCTTTCACAGGGGTCACCTAAGACCATCAGAAAACACATAGATAATTACATATTGTTTTTGTGATTAATCACTATGCTTTAATTATGTTCAATTTGTAACAATGAAATTGGGGATCACCACAACATGAGGAACTGTATTAAAGGGTTGCGGCATTAGGAAGGTTGAGAACCACTGTTCTAGAAGGTAATTCCTGTCAATTGGGTGAATATTCTGGCCCTTTCCTAAGACTTTTTTTTATAGAACTAGACACTAGTGATGGTGAACCTATGACACGCGTGTCAGAGGTGACACTCGAACTCATTTTTTTGGTTGATTTTTCTTTGTTAAATGGCATTTAAATATATAAAATAAATATCAAAAATATAAGTCTTTGTTTTACTATGGTTGCAAATATCAAAACATTTCTATATGTGACATGGCACCAGAGTTAAGTTAGGGTTTTTCAAAATGCTGACACGCCAAGGTCAAAAGGTTCGCCATCACTGAACTAGAGGGTTCTATGAACTTCCTAGGAAAGCAGGCAATGCTTGTCATCCCAGCTACCAGCACACTTCCCGGGACACAGCAGGGAACAGTTTAGTGAATGAATAAGCGAACTAATGTGAAAACAGAGCTCAAATAAGACAGAAACAAAATAAATCACCCCCATTTGGGAAAACCTATAGCTAGTATGGTCGATTGTGGTGCATGAATTCTATCAACCTCTTTTCCCTTTGTTTAGAGGCGGCCGGAGTCTCAAATGACTCGCCAGGGCTTGTGTAGAATCCAGAGGTGAGATACGGGTCCCTGAAATGATAGTGTCCACACAGACAGAGGTAGTTGTGAAATAAGCCCCCAACCCCCCTAAATTAAGCCTAGGCCAACAAAACCCTGCGAGGTTTTGGGTAATTGATGGACCAGGACAATTTGCAGGGCCCCGACCAGCGCTTGTATGAACACCCAGCCGGGTGGGGAGGGGGGACAACATGAAATAGGAACAGAAGAAGAGGCTGAAAGTAGGAAACCTGGGCAGAAGGCATCCAGTGCACACGCCTACCTGTCTCAGCATCGCTCTAAAAGCCATTGACCGAAGCCTGGTGGTGAGGATCTCGCCAGCTTTCCCAAACGTGAAGCCCTGGTTGAGAAAAGAAAACAAAAGCTCCTGTTCCCTTTGATCATTCCTGCTGTTCTGACGCAAGTGGGTACCTGCCCATTGATTTTTTTACATGACTTATATATTAGCCAATGAGTAACACATGTCTGTGACCAAACATTCATTCAAAGTCCCAACTTAAAGTTCACGTACTGCTGAGTCATGGGTATGTAATTGAGATGAAAAGCCTTAAAAGTGTCCAGTCTGGCTTCTGAACCATTCTAAATAGGTTTCCTTCTCAACACTTTCAAGAACATCTCAGTGAGGACAATACTGTGTTTAGTCACAACTTTCATGTGTTCCTATTACTTTAAACAAAACAGTGAAAAGAGAAGTAACAAAATTCTATGCAGGAACGCATTTGGGTCACGTGGGGAGGGAGGGAGGGAGGCGGCCTGGAGTAAGAAGCTCCAGGAGAGTTGGCTGGTTCCCAGCCACAGCTCCCCCTGCTCTCAGATTGGGGACCAGGCCCCTCTCCCTCCCCAAGCATGCTTGCCAGGCAGTTTCCCTCTTTCTAATCATGTCCTGTTCACACGTCCATAGCTGGGCCGGTTTCCGGGGCGGGTGGGAGCCTCCAGGCTCACGGAGCATCGGTGCAGGTGTGTGCAGGCCACTCCTGGGAGGACACTAAGCCAGGGGGACGGTGCCCAGGGGGACGGTGCCCGGGACTAGACCACCCTGGTCTCCTCCTTGCTTTGCTGGCAGATTGCTCAAACCCAGTGTGGGCTGCCCACTGTTGGTGCAGCCTCCAAAACACATTTATGTACCTAGCTCCACTCCCTAGCACACCAGGGCTAGCAACTGGGTGGGATCACTGAGAGCTAAATAAATGATTTCTAAATAAAAATCTTGGCTTACTTTTACCATTGGTTCAACAATGATGAGAGAGAATCATGCTGGGCCTGACTAGGAAACATTTTGCTGAATTAATGGATTGTATTGGAAGGGCCTGCATGGTACTCACTGAGTTAACGAGAAAAAAAGTATTTGGTAAAAATCCAGGTAGAAAAGTACAATCGGAGTAGGTCTGCTAGTTCACTCTGGCCAGGTCTACACTATCTAAATGCAATACAATATATATGTTCTTTCAAAGAGTTCATCGATTAAGGAGGAAACACTCAGAGAAGTTATCGATATTATGTAAAGAGTAACAACAACAAAAGAGGATGCTATTGTACTGTTCCCTCTCAACCCTCCCTCCCCGCCCCAGTTTTTAACTAGTTGAGTTTAACTGGTTCTCATGTTCTCCTGGGGACTTGGGTCTCTTCTTCCCTTGCTAAGGGAAAACCTATGATATGCCATAATTCAGCGACCAGGGAAGTCACAATTACTCCTGCTAAGGCCTGTCCTCTAAAAATGTCCTCTGTCAACTGTGTTTGCCATTTATTTCAGTCTCAGACTCAGAAACTCCATTAGGTCTTGATTAATTGATAATTAATCAATCTACATGAATAGGTAGTTAAATCTAATAATTAATCTATATCCTAATTGAAGGATAATCTATGTCAGTGAGAAGACCAAATCGTAGGTACCTACCTGAAGGAAGAAAGTGAAGAAAGAAGTAATCCCCAGACCCAAGAACAGCAACGAGATCATGTTGCACTTCTGCTGCTTCACGGCATCGTCCCCCGGCCCAAAGATCTACGAAAGAACATGCAGAGGGCCCACCTCACTACAGGCCCCTTGTTTATTCCTCCCACACACAGTGGCTGGAGCATCTCATTTTATTTTATTTTATTTTTTTATTTATATATTTTATTGATTTTTTACAGAGAGGAAGGGAGAGGGATAGAGAGTTAGAATCATCGATGAGAGAGAAACATCGATTCAGCTGCCTCCTGCACACTTCCTACTGGAGATGTGCCCACAACCAAGGTACATGCCCTTGACCGGAATCGAACCCGGGACCTTTCAGTCTGCAGGCCGACGCTCTATCCACTGAGCCAAACCGGTTACGGCAAGGAGCATCTCATTTTAAAGACGGGGCTTTGAGATATGTGGGTTTTTATTGTGGTAAATATGCATCACATACAAGTTACCATTTTACTCATTTTTAAGTGTACAATTCAGTGGCATTAAGTACATGCACAGAGTTGGAAACTCTGTACCCGCTAAATAGTAAGACCCCTTTCCACCCTCCCTAGCCCTCTGGGAACCACTATTCTAGTTCCTGTCTATGAATTGAGGAATATGTGGGTTATTAACATGGGTTGTGAGTGGTTGCACACTTTGGTGTTTGTTCTCTTCCCCTGCACTTGC